TGGCATTGAATTAGAATCGACAACAAAAAGGTCTCCCCCCAAAACCCTAAGTATTTAGAAAGTATATAAACCACTTTAAATAACCTGCAAGTCAAAGAACGCCAGGGAGAAATCAGAAAATATTTTGAACAGAATGAAACTGAAAACACATTTCCAACTGGGTCAGACGTGGCTAAAGCCGTACTGAAAAGACACAGCACTGAAGGCCTGCACTAGAAAATGGGAGGCAGCGCCCTCGGCGGCCCCCGGATCTGTCTCTTGCTTCAACAGTGTTTGGATGGGACAGACCCAGGGACCTGCTTCCAGCCTCCCACAGCCCTCCAAACTCTCTTCCAGTCACTACCAGAGGAACCACCTCAGCCATCCTCAGCCTTCGAGACCAGCCAACACCAGTTTTTGACCTTAATTCCTTATGACCGAACGACCACGAGCTCCCAAATTCATCAGAATCATCCACCGACGTGAAGGCCACCGTCAACCGCCCGGCCACCCTGCACCAGCGGGCCTCCGACACCTACCTCTCTGGGCTTCTGTTCCCACCACGACGATGGGGCTCCGCAGGGCGTGGGCCTCTCTTTCCGCGAGTTGGTGGAGGAGAAGGGCAAGGGGCCCAGCAACTCCTACCGGTGCAAAACCCACGCGGGGGTGAGGGGTGGGGGCATTCTTTTCCAGGACGTCCAGAAGCCTTCCCAGGATCCGTGGGGGCAAACTCAGGATGCCAGGGAAGCCACCTTGGCCTCGGAGAAGTACATGAGCCAGACCCTTTTTGGATCTGCAAACCCTGGCTTCTGCCCACTACAGACCCTCAGCTGTGAGTCACTGGAGAACCACTTCCTGGGTGAGGAGGTGAAACTCATCAAGCAGATGGGAGACCAGCTGACCCTCCTGTACAGGCCGGCCGCCCCGGGGCTGGGCGGGGCAAGTATCTCTTCGAAAGGCTCAGCCTCGTGCATGACTAGGAGCCTTTGGAGCCAGAGGCTTTGAGGGGCCCCTCTCCGTCTCCCCATGTCTGGCTTCTGCCTGAGCCTCTCCCTGCAACCCCTAGGCAGACTTTTAACCATCCTGGAGCCGTCTCCCGTGCATTGGACCAAATGGAAACAATACGGCTTTTTGCAGGAAAGAGAGAAAGAAAGAAGAAAGGAGAAAGAAAATGAAAGAGGTCCCACATTATTTACTTTAGTTTCCATCTTAAGAATCTAGCAAAACCAGAGCAAATTATACCCAAAATAAGCAGAAGAGAGTAAACGATAAAGATCAGAAGGGAAATCAATTAAATAAAAAACAGAAACAATGGACAAAATCAATGAAATCAAGAGCTAGCTTATTCTTTGAGAAAACGCGTTAAATTGATAAACTTCTAGCCACAGTGATCAGGAAATAAAATAGAAGACACACATTAGCAATGATCATTACTACAGATTATATAAATAAAAAGGGTCACAAGGAAACATCATGAACAACTTTACGCCCACAGTCGAAATAGACAAAGTCCTCAACAATATATAGTATAGCCGCCCATTCTCCCGAGAACTGTTCTGGGCACCTGGAGGTTTATGTCTCTCTAGGGAGCAACACAAATGGTAACTGTTACCTGGGTTAGAAAAATCAGTCTGCCCCACCCCACTCCTGCTTCAGGTGAGGATGGATTCTGTGGTGCGATTCGGGTTCTAGACGTCCTGTGGAATCTGGCTGAAACCGGAGAGCAGCTCCCATTCTTAGCTTCGTCCTTACTCAGCCTTCTTCTCCTTCTTAGTGTGCTCCTTCAATAAATTACTTGCCTAAGTTTCCCCATTTGGGGCTCTGCCTAACGACCTGACCTAAGACAGGGCACCAGCAGGAGACTGGGAGGCAAGGATGAGAGAATGAGAGAGGGGCCTTAATTCTTGCTTTTATCTTGCTTTTCTGCCTGCGCCACCCTGGCAGTGAGCCCTTGTCTTGAGTTATGGATTAAACTGTGTCCTCCCCCACCCCCACCAAAAAAAAAAAAAAGGTGGTTAAGTTCTAACCTCCAGCACCTGGGACTGTGACCTTATTTGAAAATAAGGTCTTTGCAGATGATCAAGTTAAGATGAGGTGTGTCTTGATCTACTGTGACTGAGGTCCTCATAACAAGGGGAAGTGGGGACAGAGACCGACACGCACAGAGGGAACGCGAGGGACAGACCCAGAGAACACCATCTACAAAACCAGGGCAGGAACCCCTAGGCTGCCCGAACCAGCAGGGAGGCCCCGACAGCTTCTCCCTCGGATCCCTCAGAAGAAACCAACCCTGCCCTCCCTTGGATCTCAGACTTCTAGCTTCCAGAACTGCGAGAGAATCCATTTCTGTTGCTTTAAGCCACCTGGTGTGTGGTGCTTTGTGGGGTGGCCCTAGGACACTAATACCTCCTGACAGTGGCAGTTGGTTCGGTCTCAAGTTTTCTGCCAGAGCTCCCATAATCAACTCATCTCACCAACTGGGGGGGGGGGGCACGCTGACAGGGCAGCAGCCCCATCTCCTCGGTCCCAGCAGGGCTCGCAGATCAGCTCCTCGACTGTCAGCCCTGACCTGCCTTGCTCCCCAGTGCCCAGGGGTGGAGCTGCTCCGGGCAGTTACTACTGTCCTCCAGGGCTCCCTTTTGGCTCTTTCCATTTCCTGATCTCCATTCAGCCAGTTCCTTATACATAAATCATTCTGTGGAGATAGGAACTAACTAGCAGAATTTCTTTATCTCTGGCAAGACCCTGGAGCGACCACCATTTCACTCACAGTGAAAGTCAAAAGTCCACAGCATAGCTTACCTGACTCTCTGCTCTCCAGGCCCCCGGCTCCCTGTCTGCCCTCCTTTCCGGTCATCTCCTCTGTCACCCACCCTGCTCCAGCCACCTGGGTCTCTTTGCAAATCCTTCAATGCACCAAGCACGCTTGCTTCGTGCTTTTTGACCTGCTGTTCCCTGTGCTTGCTGACACCTTCAAGCACGTGACTTGCTGCTTAAAGTTTCCCCTAATTTCCATGCCCTGGCCTGTGCCCCCACCTCTGTAAACACCTTTGCTGACAATGCACAGCCATGTGCTACACATCGGCCTTTCATTGAACGACAGATGGCATGTACAGCAATGGCCCAGCAAGAGTATCATGGAGCTGAACAATTCCTCCTGCCTAGTGACGCCGCAGCCATGGTAATATCACAATGTCTGTCACAGCACAAGATATTTACTCACATGTTGTGATGCCGATGTAAACAAACCTACCATGCTGCCAGTTCTACAAAAGCACAACACATACGATCATCTACGGCCCATAATACTTGATAATGACAATTAATGACTATGTTACTGCCTTATGTATTTACTGTGATATCCCATTTGTTGGTAGAGCGTACTCTTCCCACTTATACAAACGTTTTCTGTTAAGCAGTATGCCCTGTGATGCCAGCAGCCACCTTGCATGTCTGGTGTTCACCAAAGCTCTTGACCATGTCATTTTCTCTTTGCTTGATCCAGTCTTGTGTTGTTCTGTGCAGTGATATGCTAGCAGTACAGGCATGTAGGCTCGGGACGATGGGCCAGACTGCAGAGCCTCGGTGCATAGTAGGCTACCGCATCTCCGTGTGTGTATGTGCGCTCTCTGTGGTTCACATGACACATTTCTCAGAACATGTCCCCAGTGTAACTGCCATGGAAGTGTAAAACTGTGTAGAACGCTTTTCTCAACCCCGCGCTCTCCTTCCCATGAGCCTCGCCTTCACCACACTCGTCTTCTGGCAGACTGTCATTTTTCTCCCCCGATAGCACCTGAGCTCCATGAGACAAGTTCTGTTCACTGCTGTGCCCACGGTACCCACAGCAGGGCCTGGCACACAGAAGCCAGCTTTTGGGGAAAAGCCCGAATGAGTAACTAGAGAGAACCCCACCAGCAGCCCTCCCATTGTGTCACTGTATTTGACTTATAACCAGTCCCTAATTTCTAAAAGACGTGCCCTACTCTTTGGCTGTGTTGCTGCCATGTCTCCTGAAGCTCCTCAGTGATAATGTGCAGTCTTCCTGTTTCGTAATTTAACATTGTACCATGCAAGCGTTTCCTCCATTGTCAGCCTCTGAGAAGTGTTCTGCCGAACAAGATCGGCCAGTCGGCAGCAGTTGCTGAGAGGCTGCCATTGTGTGATGAGGCTGAATGGGGCCCTTTTCTGGGGTCACCCCAGAAGGGAATGTCACCCCTGTCCTGGTGGAGCCTACCATGTCCTGGATAGTCAACTCCTGCACATGAAAAAAAAATCTCAGGGTTATCAACAACGCACAAATAGAAACAATGAAAATGTACTACGTACGTGCTGGTTAGATGAGACACAATGGCTGGTGGGCCATTCCAACTGGAATAATTCCTAGGAGTTGAGTGAGAAGCTGGAATTTAAAGATCTGTGAGGATAAGGTAGGAAAGAAGAAAGGGTACTTGCAAAAGGAAACAACTACATGAGCATGACCCCATCGGTCACCTGATCCCTCAACTACACGATGCATTTGGCCTAGAGCCTTCCTCTCTTAGTTACCGACTACATTCTGTGCTTTCCCTTTAACATACCACATTCTATTTGGGATTCAAATGGCTCTGTACCTTCAGTGACAGGACGGAGTCACTTCATAGGCTCCTTCCACCTCATCTTCAGGTCTCAGCCGAAATGCCCTTTTCACAAAGAGGCTTTTTCCAGATACTTAATCTGAAATGAGTGTGCCTTGTTATGCTCTATCTTGGTATTTCTTTCATAGGTTTTACCCTCATTTTAACCATAAATTTGGGACTTGATCATCTGTCTTTCTTGCTAGATTATTAACTTGCTAGAAGCAGAATGCTTGTATTTTTTTCATTAATGTATACAGATTACTTAGCACAGTGGCTGACACTTAATATAAATTTGTAGAAATGGAATGAAATAGTGCCTACTGCCTTCCATGAAGTCCAGAAATCCATCTGCAAAACTGATCGCAATACTGAAAATAATTTTATTTTCAACATTTACCAAATTGAAGTCAGGCTAACTTCTGATACATAGAGATGTATATCAACATAACTATAAGTACATACCCATATAAATATATGCATATATAATTCATATACATGGTAATATTTGGAGCTTTACCATTCAATTTCAATGGTGTCAAATACTTCATCTTTTTTGCCCTTCCCCTTCATCATCTGTTACATTAAACCTAAACTGTTCTTGAGAATCGTTCTTCTCTCTGAAGTAAGGAATAGAATCCTGGATAGGACTGGTGCATGGGGGCGGGATAGTCCTAGCTGCTCCCAGCCCATCCAGGGGGCCTTGGTGCAGAGCAGAAGAAGGAGCCACGCGGTCTGCAGCAGACGTGGCCACATGCCGATGCACAGTGCTTGGTGAGTGGAGCTCCAGCAGGACTTCGCTCCCATCCGCTGCTTCCGCCACGTGCCCTGGTTCAGGACACTGCCCATGTGTAGGCGGCTGTCCTGCATGGGGCTGCTCTGTGCTGGTGCGAGCGGGACATGGGGACCTGGCCAACCTTGTGCAGCTCCATCCCTTGCTTTAAAAAAAAGACTGATTTATCTGGATGGGAATGGGCAGGTGGGGGGGTCCCTTCTTCTTCTTGGAAGAGGGAGTCGTCCCCGACAAAGATGACCCCTTTTCCATGCTTGGTGTGCCGCCTCCGAGGGAGCTTTCGAGGTTTAATCTTAGGAAATAACTGAATGCTGATGCTTGATTCCTAGACAGTTATGCTGTCAATCTGGCTATAGTTGAGCTTTGTAATTTCCCTCTGCAAAAAAATTAAAAAAACAGAAGTTAGTTCACTTGTGTAACACTGCTTAGTGACCATTTGGAGGATCTATCAGTGGCAAGAGAATAGGCTCAGGTGTCTCATCAGTGACCCAATTTATCGACTGCCACGACTGTCTCGTTTCTGTGATTCTTAATAAACTCTCTATATCTCAAAACTTCGGATTGTAAGTTGTAACAGCTGCCTGTTTTATAACCACAATTAATGTACCTTTAAGTGACCTTAGTCTCAAAGTACAACCATGAGGAAGGCCTGTTTTGAACCAACTAAGATCAATTCATCCCTTGGAGCGAGATCTGAAACGACTGAGACATAATTTTGGAAAGATTTTTATTTTGAAAAAAAGATCATAAAACTGGTATTGGGGTATAGAGCCTTGGATAGCCAAGTGCCACCTAGGCTGGGTCCCTGGGTTCTGGTTTTTAAACAACCTGATGAGATTGTGTAAGTGATCCAGTCTTGATGGGGTTCATCTCCAGATCTGTTTATTAAATGGGACTTTATCCTCTTAAAATCTTTATAACTCTCTGCTTTATTTTATAAGTCCTCAAAACAGGGAAAATGTCAGAGCAGTCTGTGGATCAGAAGAAACCTTGGGATCACGTGTACATAGGACTCACGTGTATCCACAACAGCCCCTGGGAGAAATGGTGAGTTTTTGTAGGCAGCCCCACACTGAGCTCAGTACTGGACTGGATATTCCAGGAGATTCTTTTCACTTATTCTAAATTGGTCATCTTTTTTTTGGGGGGGGGGTGTAGCTCCACTGGGAAATACGGGCCCAGGAAGTGGAAGGGCCAGAAACCTCATCTAGCCACCGGACCCACTTTAACAGTAAGTAGTTCAATCGGCTACCCACCCCCACCATCACCAACTTCCACATTAGCTTGGCGAAATTTATGCCCAGCAGGGAAGCAAATCCCAATACGGCCAACATGTCCTCCATTGCCAAAAAGGGAAAACATCCTTATCTCCTCTTCAAATCCATCTACTAGAAAAGTCATCTCCCTGTTAAACACTCAAGTCGCACTGGGTACGCCTTGTGTTCAGTCCTTGTAATGCCAACTGGTGCGGATCTCGAAAAGGTCCAGTCACCACTCTTGATAACTTGCAGATCCTCTTACAAACTCTTACTTTAGGCAGACTATGTTTAACTAAAGGGGGGGGGGAGTTTAATTTATTTAGGTACATGGAATACATAAGGCATCCCGCTTCTGGACCTCAACAAACTTGCTACAAATTTTTCCTCCAGAACTAACGCCTCCGTATTGAAACCCCCAGGGAACTCTCCCCAGGAAATTTTTTTTCCCCATTGAAAATGAAGCTGATTCGCAGCCAGCTTCTTCGCCTCTCCTCCACTTGGGGCGGGGGGGAGCCTGCGTTCCGGGGGAGCGCCGGCGGGGCCTGGCAGAGCGCCAGGGCACAGGTGGGGGCCCCTCAAGGGGCGTCAGGGGCCAGCCCGCCCAGGTGGGCGCAGTCCCTCCCACGGTCGGACTCCGCCGCGCACCCCGTCCGCGCGGTTTCCGTAGCGCGCAGGACCTTAGGCAAGGACGGGCACTCTTCTCCGAAGTCTTCAAACCGTCTCCACCTACTCAGCGGCTCGCAGCATCTGGGTTGCACCCGCCACTCAATCAGACCCCAAGGAGGATCTTTACGGACTAGAGCTTCACCCTGAAAATCACGGGGGCACAGGGGGAGTCCGTGCGGGCCGGCAGCGGGGAAGGGGCCGGAAAGCTCCCTCCCGCCACCTCCAGCGGTCTCAGCTCCCCCGGGGTGAGGGGCGGGCCGGGGACCCGACTGGGAGGCCGAGGGGGGGGGCCCCTCCCTCCTCACCTCCCGCGGCCCACTCCTACTCACTTTCTCCTGGAGCCTCAGCTCGGCCGCCTATTTAGCCCGGGGTCGCAGCGGAGGGGCTGCGGACAGGAGAAAGGAGACGGTAGGGACTCTCGGGACCACGACCTAGCTCCAGGCCGACCAGCCGGAGGACCAGGGCGGTGGACGCCCCCACCCGGGCGCCCGGGCAAGGCGGGTGCGTTGCGTTCCGCGCCCCCGAGGCTGGCTCGGAGAGCTCGGCCGGGCCCCCACCATCGCCCGCAGCCGAGGCCCTCGACCCCTCCCGGCGCATCCCGGAGGTCGCTGGGCCCCAGGGACGCGCTCGCGCCCGGGCCGCCCGGTCCCCTCCCCCCAGTCCGGGCGGGGGCGCGCGAGAAGCGGTGACGTCAAGGGGCGCGCGGTGGCAGCACCTCCCCGCGCGCTAGTTAAAAAGAAGAAGAAAAGAGGGAACGAAACATGAGAGGCTGTGTGAGAAGCTGCAGCCGCCGGCAGAGGAGACCTCAGCATCATCTAGAGCCCAGCGCTGGCCCTGCGTTCGCCTGCCCCGCCGCCGCCGGTTCTGTTCCTGCTACTGTCTCACCTAAACAACTCCTGTTACCCGGACAAGTGAACCTCTGTGGCCGGCTTCTCTTCTTCTTCCTCCTCTTCCAACTCCTCCTCCTCCCACTGCCCAGCTGCAGCAGAAAGCCCCTAACCCCACTGACACTGGCACAGCTGTATACGGTGTCATCCGCACAACTTTCTCTCGCTCCTCGGGCTCCCCCGAGGCATTGGACCATCGTCTTTTATTTTTGGCCAAGTTGCACCGTCCCCGCCACCTTCCTCTGCCTCGCAAGTGTCCCGCCGCCCTGCAGCCTCCTCCCGGCGCTGCGCCCTAGTGCCCCTGCTGGGCAGTGGCGTTCCCCCCTTCTCGCCCGCGCCCACCCCCGGCCGCTCCGGGCAGACGATGCTGAAGATGCTCTCATTTAAGCTGCTGCTGCTGGCCGTGGCTCTGGGCTTCTTTGAAGGAGATGCTAAGTTTGGGGAAAGGAACGAAGGGAGCGGAGCGAGGAGGAGAAGGTGCCTGAATGGGAACCCCCCGAAGCGCCTGAAAAGGAGAGACAGGAGGATGATGTCCCAGCTGGAGCTGCTCAGTGGGGGAGAGATGCTGTGCGGTGGCTTCTACCCTCGGCTGTCCTGCTGTCTGCGGAGTGACAGCGCTGGGCTGGGGCGCCTGGATCACAAGGTAGGCACGCACCCGCCTCGCCGCCGCGAGACTGGCGTACTGGCCGGGTGGGGTTCCCTGCGGCTCCGGCAACGCTGGTGGCCGAGAGGAGGGCGACACTTGTTTGGGAAGTTCTTTCTGGTAACTTTTTTATAGCGCTAGCGTGGTTCGGTTGTGCGTTCCTCCGGGGCGCGCAGACACCTCGCCCGCCCCCAAGAGTCCGAGGTCGGGATGCTGTGCAAAACTGTCTGTCTCAGAAAAGCTTCCGTGGTACCCGCGTTCGGGGCTGGGTAAATATTTTAAAAGAATCGCGATGAACAGTGTGTTTTGGATCGAATCGGGCCTGGGCTGCAGGGAAACTGAATTAAGGTGGCTGTGGTTTCCGGTTTATTTTTCTAGAGTGGAAAGATTCGTGCATCTTTCTCCACGCATCTTTCTCCACGTGCTCGGTTAGGGAGAGGGCTGAATCGTGAAGGATGTTGAAGCGTGGTTGGTTTACGATCCCCAGCCCCGTCAGAGGGGGTTGTCTAACGTTACAATCGTTAAACAGCGAAAAGGGAACTCCTGGGACTCCAGTGGAGAACCCGAAACACTGGCGAAAGGTTTTGCTGGGGCGTCTTTACCACATAAACCGGAGACCATCCTCCGTCTCTGTTTGGAATGCTTGGTAATATCATCAGTTCCGGCTCTCAGTGGTATTTCGTTGTCTGGGACAGTCTCCCCTGGAAACGTGTTTCAGGGGTAAGAGCATTGACATTTTCCTCGTGTTGATAAGTTTAAACAAATAGGAAAACAATGTTGGCTGAGTGAAAAGACAGACTTGTTTTTGAGTTTGCAACATCTCCCGTGCCCTGGTGGGATGCGGTAGTGTGTGCTGTCTACTGTACTCCCAAGAAAGACTGGGGCGCACGTCATTAACAATCGCTGCACGTGAAATAAACAATCAGGTGTCTTTGCTCCCCCCCCCCTTTCCCCATTTTAGGTTTCATTAAGAATGTCTCTGTTACAACACTGCAGTTGTGAAGGTCTGAGAGACTCTTGGAAAACCTGTGCTTCAGTCTTGCTGGCCCAGGCATAATAAAAAAAAAAAAAAAAGAAAGAAAGAAAAATACCCAGGCTGAATCTAATTTTTATGCTCAGTTCACGGTAGATTTCACTCTATTCTCATGTAAACAGCTCCTACGAATCAACATATGTGTCTGGGTGGTATCTCTCACTTTGTTTTGTAACAAAAAGCCATATTGCATCATTTAATTTGCTCAAGTCATGCAAATAGGAAAAAATCAATAGGACAAAAAGGGGTCGACTTATCCTCCTCCCCACTAAACTGCTGCCCACACACAGCGTCCTGTTGCTTATGGCAAAAGAATAACAACAACACCATTGTGTTTGTTAGTTGGTTCACTAATGGGTGAAACTAGAGAACATCATTCTCTTTCAGTCCCCAGCTCTGTCCAAATGTTCATGCCTTTTGAGGGAGCATTTGTCCAGCGCGCTCTATTCCCAGATGAGTGCGAACTGTCTTGCTGCAGGTTTTCAGCTGCAGCTCCCTCTTTATTCTTACCATATGCAGCAGGAGTCTGAGATTCGGGAACAGATATTCCAGCATTTTATTCAAAACAATGTCATTAAGCTCCTGTGTCGTAACTGAATTAAGTTACAGAAAAGCGACATTCACATCATCCGGCAGGGCTTTACCAGGATCCCCAAAGGAGCAGAGAGATGCAGAGGAAGGTTTAGCAATTTTTCCCATCGAGTCTCCCTGTGTGCAGCATGTACTATGGGTACACCATGATCTCCAGCCCCCTGCTGTACTGAACAGGAGCATGAAGAGTGAAAACTCTGTTCTGAACTAAATGTAGTGAAGGTTGGAGGGGAGCAGGGGGAGGGGGCTGATGGGAGTTATAATCCTTAAGAGAAGTTACATCGATTTTTTTTAAAGAAATCATTCTTTAGGAAGTAATCTGCCATGTTAGCTATCCACATTCCTTTCTGTTTTACATCCTTCCAATCTCCAACAAACCCCTCCTAATTTGGGAAATGTGTCTGAATTAAATTTGGTACACTAGGTTTTGCTGGCTTCATTACAAATGGTTTGTAAACCAACAATACTCAAATTGTTCAAATCAGAGACTTGATATAGCTGTGCCTAGGCATTCTTGACCTACATTAGCTCCCAGGTTGTAATAGTTTTTAAAACATGTTATTTTATAATAAACTTCACTGTTTCCCTTCTTTCCCTAAGCCTTCTTGGTTTATAATATATGTGAGGGTCTTATTTCATAATGTGTGCACAGCAGAGAGGATGGCTATTTGAAAGGGCTCTTTTTTGTTTATGAAAAAAATTTTTTCACCCAGAAATATTTCTGCAACCTTTCAAGGAATGACAGGGGTAGCCTTTTCCTATTGGGAGGGAAAAAAAACTTCACAGACAAATAGATAGTAGCAAACTGGGTAGGAGTATGGAACATGCTCAGCTGTGCCATTAAATCCAGTTTGCAGACTAACACATTTTCTTTCATGTAATGAACTAGCTTTGAGTTCAATTCTTTAGCCAAAGTATTATGCTTTTATATTTAAAGTTTTTGTACTCTTAATAGTTTCTGTATTGTAATGAGATGGCTAACTACCATTGTAAATAATGATTGCCAAAATTTAGGAAGTTATATTGTCTTAATATTTTTGCAGCTCCTAAGTACAACATGCTAAAAGAGTCTAATTCCCATTAGCCAAATGGAATCTGCAACTAGCAGAAATACTCCCATTTCTAAAACTTAGACTGTAGCCACAGAAGATCTCTCTACCTTGGGTGGTTTCACAGCCAAAGCTGTCAAGGAATGGGTGAAAAGTAATTGTTTTCAAGTGTGCCCTTTTACAATCACTTGTTTGCTCTGGCTCTTTCAGGGACAAAGGCTATTGTTGAACACATCCAACTAAACAAATAACTCATCCTGGGGTCCCTTTAACAGCTGCCTTGGTACAATGATCTATTTACATATTAGCCTAAAATTGAAACTGAACTCTTTAATGACATAATCCAGCACTATAGTCCATGGGTTCTACCCAACAGCTGAAGAACTTTGTAGTCATAAGATTTTTAGAAATAACTTTTTATGTACCAAGTGATCTTAAGGTGACATCTTAATATACTGTCATGCATTTTCTCCTTTTGTCCACTCATCAAGCCCATGTGGGGGCCTTTTTATTCTCTTTGTTTAGTTGCTAGATAAATAAAGAGAAATACAGAAGGTCTCTGTCACCCATTTTACTGTTTGTTGATAAGCTCTAGTTGTAGGCCACACTTCACTGTGTATTCCAGGATTTATCTTACCTTTCTTCTGTGGATTTTATTTCCATGTGGCTAAAGATTAAAGGATGACCTGCCAGATGTTATAAATTAGTCAGCAACAGCCACAATCATTACTAGGCATGCTGTAATAATGTTTCGAAGTTTTACATGATTTCCCAAGTATATTGAGTTTAAACCACTATAATTTGATGGTTTCGTATATGGCTTTTAAAAATCGAAACAGGAAATAGGCTTAAATTTCTTCTTAAGATTGATGGCATTGTCAGGCATAAAGTTAAGGACCTATATAGACACAGACACATAGGCCAAAAAGAAAAAAAAATACCCTACACACACACACAGCAGTACACATCTGTCCAAAACAGTGTTGCAGCTTGGGCTGAGTCGGTTTAATTGACTTCAGTAAGACTATTGGTTCATTGAAACCAAAGCCAGAATGATGGCTCTATCTATCTTCAAATGGGTATTTACACTGCAGACCTCACACGGAGCAAAATGTTACCATCCTGCTGGGCGGGAACAGCATGCCGCTTTACAGAGAATAATATCATACTTGATTTCAGATCATTTATTGAATCCTAGCCCTGAAACTTTTGATGAGAGGTCTTGTGGCCAGGACACATTCCAAAAATTGGAAAAGACAAAATTCTTCAGGCACTGAAATCAAGCTCTTCCTGGATAGCAGCTGGGAGCCTCGGGTCCCTGGGGATCACTTGGTCCCAGCTATGAAAGAAATGGAAGCCTGTGCACTCCCCATAGAACCAAAGGTAGTGAGTGGCACTGCAGCCCCTCAGCCGGCCAGAGAGGTGGCTTCGGCGCCCTGCCGTGGTTTTGTGCTCA